TCTTCTTCTTCTTCTTCTTCTTCTTCTTCTTGATTTTCACTTTTGTTAGTCTATATACTCAGTTCTGTCTCCTTTTTCTCCTTTTCATTTTTTTCATTTCGTTTTGTTTGAAAAAAAGGCAGTTTTTTCTTTATTTAAAACAAAAAAAAATTTAGTCATAAAGAATAAGGTTAACACTGATGGACGTTTTCAAATGAAGTTAATTTCAATATGTGTTTTTTTGTTCTTCTGTTTTTTTCCCCTCTCTTCCCCTCCCCCTTTTCGTTGAAGCTGTCTGATTATTGTTTGGTTTCGTCCTGTTCCCCTTTTCCTTCCCCGTTCCCGTATCCCCTCCCTCTCTCCTTGTTCCCCATCCGTATTTCTGACTCACGGTTTTCTAGTTTTGGTCGGTGCTGTGTTGCTTGATTTTTTTTTTGACCAGAAATCGTTTCCACTTCTTCTTTTTTTATTCATTTCACAGATAAAAAGTTGTAATTTTATCAGTTTTTTTCTGCTTACTTCACTTTTCTTTCTGCTTATATAATAGTTTCAGCTTTTTTTACGTATCCAAGTAACATTTCTCATTTCTGAAAAGGTATACCAGAAATGCTGATTAGATCAAGCTTAATCAGTCAGTATAATTTTATTTTATTACTATTAAACTTGTGGCAAAAAAAAGAACAAGCAGAAAAAAAAGGTGAGTAAATGAAATGGCAGCTATTTTTTTTTTTTTGATGTAAAGAACTTCAACTTTCTTTCTAATTTCTGCTCTTTCTTATTTTCTTTTACTGAAGAGGTGATGTAAGTCGACGCAGAAGAGATATTATAATAGAATAAAATGTTATTTTTTATGCGTGTATTTATCTAATTTTTTAAATGAAATCATTTTTATTTGTTGTTCTTGTTGTTATCGTTGCTTTCTTTTTTTTCATCGTCGTTGGTCGACTTGATGTGATTAATGTTATTAACGGACACAAATCACCGTTGTTACCATTTGTCGTTATTATTAACGGCAGTTCTCTAAATTACTGTTTTGTTGTTAGTATGATTATTGTTGCAATTATTATTGCTATCGATGATACGGTAGCTGTTTCAATAATATATGGATATTTTTGGTCATTATTGTCATCACATCGTCGCCGTCGTCACCATTGTCATCGTCACCATCATCAGACGCTATTGATGCCGCCTTTTTATCCTTGTTATCAAACGTCGTCACCAATGTCCATGTTACCCTCCTTCTTCTCTCCTTATTCTGCTTTTCCTTCTCCTCCTTCCTAGTCTGCTTCTGTTTTAAATCGGTTACTAAACCCTACTAATTAATTTGCGCAAAACGTTTACGCGGTGGCTATTGCCAACGGCAAAGCCGAAAGTGAAAAAGGAGAAGAAGAAGAAGATGAAGAAAATGAAAAAAAAAAGAGCAAAAAGGAGAAAAAGCAAAAAATGTTTGGCTCTGATATGTCGAGACGAGAAAGTTTTTTTTTTAATCATTTTCAGTCACAAAACAATTAGTTATACTTTCTGAAAGCTATGGTAACAATTTGTGGAGACATAGTCTGAAAATGAACTTTACTTATTCTTCAGTTGTTGTTGTTTTCAACTTCTAAAGAAATTCATTTCAATAGCCCGGTTCATTTTCTTTCTGCTCTGTTTTTTTTTTTCTTCTGCGCTATTTTTATTTTCGTTTTTATTTGCTACTTTTTTGTTGTTGTTTTTTTTTCTTGCAAGCTGTCTGAGTTCGAAGGAAGAGAAGTGAGAAAGAGAGGAAAAAGGGGAGCAATAGAGGATGAGAAGCAGAAAAAAAGGAGTTAGGAAGAAGGAATCAGGAAAGGGAAAATGGGTGAAATTTGGGAAATTTTCGACTGGTAACTCAGTGAAATCGCTTATTGCGGAACAATGTTAATTCACGAAAAATTGCGTACAAATATTTCTACTTTTTTATTTTATTTTATTTTAATTTTTTTTTTTTTGCTTCTCTTTACAGTGATCTTCTTTTGTATTTGTTCTATGCGGTGCTGGGGAAGAAGTAACAGAATAAAGTTGAATAGCTATTATTTGCTCTACACAGGCGTTTATCTGTGAAATACAAATTATTTAGAGGGAACTAAAAATGAAATACCTTGTTTTTTTCTTTCTCTTTTTTGATGACTAATAAATTAATTAGGCAGCAGAACAAGTTGTAAAAGCGTATTTTTTTTGATTCAAATAATCAAATCTAAACGTTCTTGTTAACCACAAAGAATTAAAAGTTTTTGATTATATCTGCCTAAAATATCCAGATATCTAACCTGACTTATTTTACTTTGTTCTCTTTTATTATACTTTGTTCTTTTTTTTTAGCCGTCTTTCTTTTTTACTCTATTTCTCTATCTCCGAAACGATTAAACATTGTCTAAGCACACTTAGTTTCTTCATGAATTCATGTGGGAGAAATGTAATCGATAGTGGCTTTTTACTTCTACTTTTTTTGGTTCGCTTTTTTTTTGCTTGAGAGTAAGTTTTTTTAGAACTTCCTAAATAAAATTCGCTGTTTTTTTTTGGACGACAGTAAATGTAGAATGAAGCAGCAAAGTTATGCGACTGTATGTCAACGCCTTTTTGTTGTTATTTTTACCAAACGGCATCAATTCGGTGGCTAAATTTCAGGTAGCAAAACTTTTGCAATATTATATCTATTTAATGGCATTTTTTGCTGGATATATTTGATTGCGTTTTGATCTAAACAGTGAATCTTTGTGATCAGAACTACATTACTGCAGGTTGAATCCGTGTCTTCAAACTCTTTGGTAATTTCGATGACTGACGTTGCTAATGTTACCAAGGTAAACATGAATGTTAAACTGTTTGATCTAAATCAACGTCGAATCTATCGTGAAACTTCGCTGTACAAAGCTCAAAGCAATCAGGTATCTGAACCTTATCTTTTTTTTTCCTCACACTAAGTTTTCAATGAGACCCATCTCTGATTGCACAGTCTGGACATATTGCCATTCATTTTTCTGTTTGTCAAAAAATTATACTCATACATTAAAATTGGAATTCTTACAATGCAGAATCTTTAAATAAAATTTAACCTCGTTAACAAATCCAACTTGCGTATTTCTATTTTTATAAGTTGTTATTTCTCATTTTCGTTAAGTTATTGACTGTCTACTGAAATGATGAAAAAGCAAACAACTATTAAGCAGATCTATTCAGCCAATAACAATATGGTCATTTTATAGCTGTTTTCGTTTGATCAACTGATTCCGAGAACGTGGTTTGCTCTTCGGATTCTTTATCTTCCGTTCTACCATAATCGACCAGCCAAGGAACCGCTGAAACAAGTCTGAAAATAATTTTTACTTGGTTGCATATTTATTTTTTAGATGCAAAACATACATAAATCGCAAAAAGGAAAGAGAAAAAAATGCGGAACACGAAAAGTGTAAAAACAAAAGAATTAGCTGTTATAATAATTTATTAATTTTGGAAAAAAATGGCAAAAGTTGAATAGAATAAAAAGAAGATTGAAATATAGAGCGCTGTTAAAGAATAGTAAAAAAGGTGGGGTAGCGGAATAGAACAGTGGGATAAAAGGATAAAACTGAATGGCAAAAAAAAAAAGTGAATGAATGAGTAAGATATAATAACTATTATTGTACTATGTTTGGACTTTTAAAAAATTCTGGAAACAAAAAAAAGATCATAAATAAGTTCGGAACGACAAGTTCGTGATAACTGCCAAATTGGCAGCAAACAGTGCTGTAGAAGGTGATACAATTGTTGATTTTTATATCAAAAACTGATCCACCAAACGTCACTGATACACCTTATCACTGATCTTTTTGCATCTCACAAAAGCTGCTAAAACAAATCGTTTTTGATTCCTCTTGTTGAGAACATTTCACTTAGAATGGATTATTTCTGGTTGCCCATTTGTTTGTTGCTTATTTTGTCGTTTACTCATTAAAACCATCGATTTCGATGAAATTCTAAATCTTTGAATTTGAAAAAAAAAGAGTAATGCAAAATAACAAGGAAACGACGGCAAAAAGTAGCAGCGGTACCAGAAGAAAACAACAGCATTATCATTAGAACAGGAGAAGAAAAAAAAAACCAAAAATTTTTTTTTTACTTTAATATTCTTCCTCCTCTCTCCTCTTTGGTTGCTGCTGCTGTTTTCAATCCCTACGAAAAAAAAACAACAAAAGGGTAGAAAAAAATAATGAAAGATTTTTTGGCAAATATTTTACTTCAAAATATCTAAGGCTTTTTAGTTGCACTTTCTTAGCTGAGAGAAAAAAACGGGAATAAAAACAGTACTGGTGATAAATCACATAAACAAAGAATTCAGGAAAACCTTATAAATAGCATATTTAAAACGGTCGAAAAGCTATGTATCTATATGAGTAAAATGTTTGCAGAAAAAATATCTGAGCGATGAAAAGAAAAAGAAAAATTCTGGTGACGCATAACAAATTATTGGAACCCATTTAGTTCATCGTTTTTCATAGTTTTTTCTTCCACTTTTTTTTTCTTCTTCTTCTCCGCTGCTGCTGTCGTTGTTGTTTTTGCTGTTACTTTTTGAAGTACTATATTTTTGCATTACCTTATTTTTTTTGCTCAATTTAATTTCTGTGTGATTACTTTATTTACAAACTTTTTTGAAGCACTTATGTTGAAAGAGGAAATGTTAAAAATGGCCATTTTTTTTCCATGTTTGGTGACTAAAACTGACCGTTATCGTTACGTTTTGCAGCTGCTACTTTCTGCTAAACTGCAGTATAGTTGTTGCTTTTTTCTTCTCGTTCTACGCAGGTTAATCTACAGTTAGTATGGCTTAGTTAAGTATTTATTTGGTAAGCCAATAACGAATTAGTTATATAGAGGAGGCGGAGAGTATAGGGATTGGGAAAAAAGGGAATAGAGAATATAGGGAGAAAGGAAATGAAAGAAAGCTTTTTATCATTGTTGATGACAAAAGCGTTTAAAAAAAAGTAGCCGGAAAAGCACACACAGAAGGGTAAAGATAAAATGCTATATGTTTTTGCTTACTAAGAATGCTAAGAAAAAACTAAGATTGTTCTTTTTTTTTGCATAATGAAGAGGAGAAAAGGGAAGAGGAAGTGAAGGTAAACTGCCGAAAATATAAAATAAAAACGTCAAGAAAGTTGAATTTTCTTGAAAAAGAAAAATTCACAATATGATTATGCTCTTATATTTCATTATGCTGAACTGCTTAGGAACTGGTAATCAAAACTCGAGGATGTGAAAACTGCGAAACTGAGATGTCCGAAAATGCGGTAGCCAACATCAGCTCAATTGTGTCTAACGACAACGATCTGACAATTATCGTCGAATCGCTTATTTCCAAGGAGCAATACGTTGGTGCTAATTCATATTTCTTTTCTTTTTTTGCTCTTTCCGTTTCTTTTTTTTCAGCTTTTCTTTCTTTTCCTTACATTTTTTTGGTCTTCTTAAATATTTCTCATCAATATCAGTAGAGAACAATAGCAACAAAAACAACACTTTCTGTGGCCACAGCAAAAACCATAGTGGGGATCTAACGGTTTTATAGGAAAACGATATAAACTGATTGGTTTATTGGGGCAACCGGAAACCAATTGAACCATATTTCCTTCCTGTATCGGCACCAAACCTTTCCATCATTATTTGAAAGCTACCCTTCTTGATTTCGTCCCCCTTTCCTCCTCCTCCTCCCTCAGTCTTTATTCAACCAGTCTCTGTTTCTACTGAGAGCCTTAAACAACAACCAAATGTTTAATTTTTTTTTTTGTCTATTCCAAATTTGTAAACTCAACTTTTTTATAGACACTTTTATTTGAAGCAGAAAAGCAAAAACCAAAAAAATAATACAAGATTTTTCTTTCTCTATTTTATTGTTTCTGAGAAGAAAATTGCTATGGAACAATGGTAAAAAGCTTCAAAAACAAACAATAAGAAGTCAAAACGTGATAGCTGAGAAAATGACCAAAAAAAAAAAAGATGAAAAAAATAAACAAACAAACAGTGCTAAAAAAAAGAAAAATCTATTATATTTTAAACTTCCGATTAAAAATTTATGTCTCTTTTCTAAATAATTTTTTTTCAAATAAAGATATT